ATAGCAAAAAGACTTCTACTCTAAATAGACTGACCTCTATATCAGCAGGCGCTCCGTTTAAACAGTTACCCATGGCTCTATTTATATGGCTAGTCTCTCTAAACAAGAGCGGCTAATTTGTTATTGAGTGAAGTAAGACTAGGAGATAACAAAGCCACAACAGAACATCATAAGTGTTGAGGGGTGGCCCCTGCTAATTAAGGCTGGGTGGGGGCAGGAGAAGAATTTATGTAGCTGCTCCATTTACATGTTTGCTTGTAAATTTGTCCCCACTCTGTGTTCAGTCAATACAGCATTAGTTGGATCCATTAGTGGAGATGCAAAGGACTAGTTTGCTTGCATGGATAGTTATTTGCAAAACAAATCACATGCTGGGACATCAAAGTCTAAATACGATTAGGCCATACATCAAGCAAACAGGGCGAGAACAAGTGTTTTATAGCTGTAAATGGACGATGACATATATGTGAACCAACGAGTTTGGAATTGACTTTTTACCGAAGCATCGTAATCTACTTAGAAACACGACTAGGTACTAAACCTCAACTGACATATTACAAAATTCAAATATTATAGGATACTTTTTAAAATTTAAATTTCAAATAAAGCTAGCAGCATAAGATAACACTTGCTATTTTTGAATTGCAATTGCAGCTCAAAAGTGATGTACATGCTTTGTTATCTCAAGTTACAAAAGGTTATCTGTCTTTAATTACCTTTCTGTCAATCTTGACACAGTACGATACTAGAAGTACTACAGGAAGAAGTATCAGGATAGGATAGAGTATCCATAGGAAAGGATACTGGTTCAAAGTTTGAGTGAAATTATCAAATATCTTCATGATGGGGTCACCACCTCTTTTTCTATTTTCATAAATCAAAATATTACACATTATGCATATATAATAATTATTATCATTATTTTTAGAAGACAAATGAGTTTAGTCTACAGCTCAATGAAGGTGCCACCTCGCCTTAGCAACGAATAAAAGAACATTTACCTTTTCAAAATAGTACTTCTAAATTGATTTTTAAAAGGAGCACACAGATCTCCAAAGCTGCTAAAAATAGACCCCAGGGTGTCTGTCCTTACCGCCTCTAAGCCGTAGAAATGTTAGGAATGACGCGTCTTTCCTCTGGAAAATATCTTAGCAACAGAGAAGAAGCTGTATCTATGCTGCAGCATGCAAAATTAGCACCTCAGCCCATCCTTGGACAATGAATAATTAATTTAATTAATTACTGTATTATCATCATTATCATTATAGTACATGAATAAAATTAATAATTTTAATCTCCAAAGAGAACATCATTTTCTTCTTTTTGGTTCTGGGAATATGCGACCCCTTGGAACTTAGGGAGGTCCTGAAATTGGCCAATTATGTTAATAATAAAATAAAAAATATAAAAATATTTGATGTACATGTAATTTTGAGTTACAATACTTGCTCTCTCTTTCTCTCCCTCTCTCTCACCTGATGGAGGACGTCTGTTATAAGTATAACTTTTAGAGCGTCTAAATTGTTCAAACGGATCATTATTCTGTGCCATGCCAACTCCAGCAAACTGCTCAGCTTTATTCCTAACTTCACCGCCTTTTATAGGAGCTTGAATCCCTTGCTCTTTGGAACCAAGCCCCGCCCCCTCCCAACCTAAAAACGACAATAAAGTGGGCGTGGTCTAATAAGGGGCTCACCCATTCTCTTTAGCATCTGATGTCCAACGTTACCTTCCGTCAATTGGCCTAGTTCTTGACTATACAAAAGAACATGTACATGTAATTTACATTAATGTCGCCATGTTTATTTATATGTACCTTCCGGTTGTTATAGGAGCTGAAGGTTGTTGTGGTGGTGGTTTTCTTCGAGAAGATTCTTCAATTGTTGGAGTTTTGGGGGAGGGGGATCGAGAGTAGCTCCGCCTACTTCCTCTGCCACGCCTTCTCCTCCTCCGATGAGGTGACGGTGAACGACTGGACGAGGAACTTGAGTCGCTTGACGGAGAACTACATGTACATGTACATGCATTAAAATTTAATTAATTAATGAATTGTTACCGTGACGACCTCCTTCTTGATCGAGGAGGAGGTGAAGGTGACAATGAAGAAGATCTAATTTTAAATAATAATTAAATAAACTTTTCTCTCTCTCTCTCTCTTACCTTCTCCTTCTTCTCCTTGGAGATGGGGATCTAATGAACAAGTACATGTACACATGTAAAATGATGTATATACATGTAGTACACTTTACCTTCTTCTTGGCGGCACGTTCCGTCTGGTATTTCCTCCTCCTCCTCCTCCTTTGTTCTTCAAAATGTCTTTAGCTTTCATCTTTGCATCGTAAAAGTCAAGCAAAGCCTTAGCCTCCCAACCATCTCTGTTAAAGAAAAGATGATAACAACATGAGCAATTGTAATATACAGCAATCTGTATGGTCTATAATAATAATAGCCCATGGTTTTTTCTTTTAAAAATGGCTCCAAAAAGACCCCCCATTTTTATTACATTTTCTGTTACATATTGATGTCTTTATGCTGTGTAGAAAGTTTGAGGTGATTCCGACTTCAATTTTTCAAGTTACAGCCATTTTAAGAAAATGCCAAAATTTTGAAAAATACCCAAGGCTATAGCCCATGGTTTTTTCAGAAAAATGACTAAAAAATGACCCCCAATTTTTATTACATTTTCTGATACATATTGATGTCCTTATGCTATTTAGAAATTTTGAGCTAATTCCGACTTCAATTTTTAAAGTTATGGCCATTTTTAAGAAAATGTCGAAATTCTGAAAATACCCAAGGCTATAGCCCATGGTTTTTTCAGAAAAATGACTAAAAAATGACCCCCATTTTTTATTAAATTTTCTGATACATATTGATGCCCTTATGCTGTGTAGAAAGTTTGAGCTGATTCCGATAAGAAATTTTCAAGTTATGACCATTTTTAAAATGGACCAATTTTTGAATACCCTATTCTTTTTCCTTACTGGTTTCTTGTCTTCTCTTCAGTCGGTGGTTGGTAAAACTCCTCCACTGCTTTAATGAGTCTTTCGGTCGGAGGAATAGGAGGAGGAAGAACAACATGCAGTGGGTTGAGTGGGCGGTAAGAACTCTCGTGAAGCTGCCGGAAATATCGAAAAATACTCATAATTAGAATCAAGACTTACCGGTACTAGTGGTATCATAAGACCAGCTGGTAAATCAAAATATGGTAAATGAGGTGGGCGGGGACCCTGTGGCATAGGGGGAGGCGGTCTTGGCATGAAAGACCGATCAGGAGGAAAGGGAAATGGGCGTGGTCCCTGAGGAGGCATGGGGTGAGAGGGGTGTGGCATGTTATCCCAAGAAGTGGGAGGCGGCTGATGATTGTAATCAAATACTTGCACGCCTTGAAAAGGAGGTGGGTGTGGTTCCAATCCATGCTCCGGAGGGCGTGGCATAAAAGGAGGATCTTTGGATGGAGACGGTTTGCCGGTAAAAGCGGGATCAAGTGGGTGTGGCTCCGATAATTTTTGATGATTATAATCAATACTTTCAATAAATTGATTATCAGGAGGTGGGGGTGGGGGAATGGGCGGAGTTTCAAATAAAGGCGTCGGTTCGTTAGGAGGGGGAATGTGTGGGTGGGACCAATGAGAGGGAGGGGGAGGTCCCCAGGGAGGACGAGAAGGAGGAAGATAATCTAAAAATTATTTATAAAAAATCAATTTTAATTATTAATTAACTTGGAGGAGGAGGAGGGTGATCCCAAGAAGGCGGAGCTGGAGGAGGTGGAGCTTGTTGCCATGGAGCTGGACCAGGATGTGGAATTGGAGGTGGAGCTTGGTCTATGATTAATTATTTATAATTAATGTTCTACGAGACTCACTCATTGACTGCTGCATCCACGGAGGAGGAGGGGCAGCCACACCCTCATTTACAATAGGGGGCAGAGCAATAGGTGGAGCTTTAGGCTAAATATCACATGACACAATAATAATAGCAAGACGACTGTCACTTACTAATGAAGACTCAGGTAGCTTCAATAAATCTTTAATTATCGAAATTTTTCCTTCGCTCAAATATTTCTGACTCTCCCATATATTCAGAACCTGCAAAATCGTGAAAGGTTGACCACACCCATTTAATTAATCACCTTAATGAGAGGGTCACTCCTGCTGGGATCAGACGAAAAAACATTATAAAATATTTGAACAACAACCGTTTCTAGAGCCTAATAATAATAACGATGAAAAAAACAAAAGAATATTAGAAAATACTCATAATAAATAAAATATCAAATAAAATATTTAGTTATGTTCATGTATATACATGTATTTATGTTGTATTTTACTTGTTTTAAGTCATGAGCATCTTTTCTGAAACTAAAAAGAAAAGAAGAGAGAGCAAGGTATACATGTACATGTAATTATAAGATAATAAGGTTTATGCATGTACCAGTGATATAGTATGTCATTAATGAGGTAAATGACATGAAGTTTATGAGAGAATTCAATATTAGGAGAATCCAACGTTCTAAAATAAAAATAAAATAAAATAAAGAAGGAATCGAAATATTGTACCTTCTCATTATAAAATGTGCCATCTTTCCACAATCTTCCTCAGTCTTTGAATGGCTACAGACCCAACCTTTACTGCTCTATTATCAAAAGGGGAGGGGCTTAACCACAGACTCCACCCACAAACTCACGGCCATTGATTCATTGGTACAGGAATTCATGACTGGGCTAATGACTGATTGGAATTCTCTTTCCAGTGGATCTGTGATGACCGCAATGTCCACCTGCTCCTTTAACTTTGTTTGATGTAATGACTCAAGCATCGATTCAATATTTTGAGAAGAAGGATGAAAACCTAAAAATAAAATTGCATTTTTACAATTCCGATCATTTTTAATTTTATTTTTACTCGTTGCGCTAGTCTCCGATGGAGTCACGTGTTGATCACGTGATCCACCTTCCCTCTCTGCTTTCACTTTCCAGAGGTAGTAGGAGTGATGGTCTCCTCCATAAAGAAAACTGAACTTTGGGTTGCTTTGTTGTTTCTTTTTCGTCATGGCCTCAAACTCTGGGCCATTCCGAGCAACAAAATTTGCCAGTTTATCAATAATATTTTTTGTCTCAGCATCTGGAGGGAAAAATGAAATTTAGGGAAAGAAAAATCAGTACCTTCTGGAGGAGCTGGAGGATTATCCGCCATTTTGACTTCACGTGTTTTGTGGGTGGGACTTATGGTTATAAAAATCATTTGAGTCTAAAGGATTTATTTATCATTGATAATTCTGTAAACTACAAATAGTGTTTTATCATAGTAGTATTTATGATTTCATCTAGCTCTATTCAGTCTAATATTCAAGATCGTATAGCCAATGCAAACAATTAAATCAAAAAAGATCTACTTCGGCCACAAACAAAGATATAAATCTAAATAGAAATTCTATTATTGATTCACACTTAAATTTTCAAATTCTTCATCTACTTCGGTTTCTCCTGGAAAAACTGCAGTGGTTGGACATGTCACAGTAACTCCATAACGTGTCAAATGGTCAGCTGGATCAATCAATTGCGATGTCTCATCTACTTTTTCTTCCTTACGTTCCTTCACCACTCTCCGTTTTCTGAAACAACACTTCAAGCAGCGCCATTTCCTTAAATTTTCTCTGATGAGTTTACAAAGGGACAAAAGATATATGAAAGTGAAAATTGGCGCAAACCAACCCCAAGGAGCAGTTCCAGCATGAGCGTAGAACATCCACTTGACGTAGTGGCCTTTGTGAGCTGCCTGGTACATCCTGTTAGCGATTGCAAAAAAAGATAAAAATTGATATGTAATGGGATAAGCAATTAATGGCAACGTTTGCTTGAGAGCTTTCCTATAATCCAGTGACGTTGTGTTTCTGTATGCTCTTTTGCATAATGTTATTGCAATAACTACAAGAGCAATGTTGTTTAGAATCAATCCAACAATCAACTCTCCATACCAAACTGCATATACTTCAATTGCTCCTTCTTTGTTATGCGAACAATCTTTGTTATAGAGTCTTATCCAGCACCAAGAGCCTGATATGCCATAATTATTACCCACGAATGGTATCCACACAACAAGCAAGGGAAATATCCACGGAAATAACAAATAAAACGGTTCCATTTTAGCCAATTTCTGGAATAAAGACGGAAAAAGGACCATACTTGTCAAATGCAATGTCACCATTAAAGTGGCAAGGAGCATCACCCATGCTAAGTACATCATGAAAAATCCTTCAGTAATACAGTCATCAACGTACTCCCCGTTT